CTTGACATTGGTGCCTGAGATAGCTGTGTTCCAGTACAGCGTCTGTGATCAGGCCTTGTGGGTGTCCAGCAGGGGAGCCTCTGATGGCCGTGTTTGCACAGAGGACTGGCTCAAGGGAGAAGATGGAGACAAAGATGTCATTCAGGTGTCTAGGAAGTATGGTAGGAAGACAATGATGACTGAGGCCGTGGGAGTGAGTGAGACTACCCAGGGACAATGTGCATACACTGTGTACAATGCCAACAGAGGATGGTCTAGGATGCAACCATAGCAAAGACAGGCCAGGAATTTAGCTGAGGTGAGTGCGAAAGAAGAGTTATAGAGAGAGGCAAGAGATAATGGTGTCAGTGAAGCCAGGGGACAGTGTTTCAAGAAGAGACCAGTGAACATTACTGAGAAAGATGACAATTGAAAAGTGTTCCTTGAGAGGTAAAATTATTATTTTCTACAATATGACTATTTAGGAAACCCAAGGCAATCAGCTGGAAAACAATTCTAACAAATAATAGTTTGGTAAGGTAGCAGTCTCGAAATAAACATGCAGAAAGCCATAGACGTCTTATAAACCAACAATAACTGTTAGGGTGGCAAGCCTTGTAGGTGCTCATGGCCCAGGTGGAGAAAGATGTCTCACACAGAGATTAGGATATATAAAAGTAAAAAAAAATATTTTATCTTTTATTTTTTTTTTTTAGAGCAAGCCACATTTCCTTATATTTTATCTTCTTAGAGGAGAGAGAATGAGAGAGTGAGAGAGAGGAAACAGGGAGAGCCAGGAAATGGCACGGCATCCCAAAGAAAGAAGGGTCTGCCAGCAGTGAGGCCAAGTGGTTTGCTGATTTTATGGGGACAAAGAGAAAGGAAAAAAAATAGTGATTGTTCTCAGTTGAAACAGAAGCGGCTGCGGAGTAATTGGAATAATTAGCAGGCAGCTGGGAGGCGTCAGGTTGTCTTGTTTTCTCTGTTCCTGGAGACTTGGTTATCTCCAAAATGGCAGGGGGTGTGCTTTTGTCCCTGAGATACGGTTTCAGGCAGGAAACTGAGGCCTGGCGTTTGCTCCCCTGCTGTCCTTTCAGGGGCTTCTCAGGAACTTCTTTCTTAAGGCAATAGAAACAGATTCTAAATGCTGGGAGCTGGTGAATGTAAAGAGAAAGATTTACATTTCCTTTTCCTCTGTTGGGCTCCTTTCTGAGGATTGTGAAAATGGAACCCGGCAGGGTGCCTGCCAGCTGGGGAGAGAAAGAGCTGGGAGAGAGTTCCTGATTGATCTTCAGCTGTTATTGGGGAAATGGCGGGATTAGATATTTTCCTGGTATTTCAGCAAGGCCACCCCTTTCAATAACCAATTAGAAAGCATTATGAACAGAAGACCCTATTCACAATAAAAACAAAAACAAAAAAAAGCCCAAACAATCTCCTCTACCCACAAGACCCTACATAATCTGGCCCTTGCTACCTTGCTTGCCTCATCCTTTATTATTCATTTTTCGTCTTGAGGTGAAATTCATATAACATACAATTGACTATTTTAAAGTGAACAATTCAGTGGCATTTAATACACCGATAACTACCACCTTTATCTAGTTCCAAAACATTTTTTTCATCACCCCGAAAAGAAATCCATTAAACAATAACTCCCCACTTCCTCTCCCCTCAGCCCCTGGTAACCACTATTCTATTTTCTATCTCTATAAATCTGATTATTCTACGTGCCTCATGTAAGTGGAATCATATAATATTTGTCCTTTTGTGTCTGGCTTCTATCACTTATTATGATGTCTTCTTCAAGGTTTATTATCCATGTGGCAGCATGTAGCAGAATTTCTTGTTATGGATGAGTAATATTCCATTGTATGGATATTCCTCATTTTCTTTCTCTGCTAATCAGTTGGTGGATGTTTGGGTTGTTTCCCCCTTTGGGCTATTGTGAATAGTTTATTCCCACTCCATTCACTAAGTCCCACCTCCCTGGCCTTCTTCCTGTTGCTTAAACTTGTCAGACTGGCTTCTGCCTGAGGACCATTGTATCTTTTGTTATTCCCTCTGCCTGGAATGCTCTTCTCCCAGATCTCTCCATGGCTCTCTCATTCTCATCCTTGCAGCTCAAATGTCACATCCTCAGGGAAGACTTCCCTGATCACTGTATTTAAAGTAGTTGAACCCATAGTCATTTTTTATCCCATTATCCTATTGCAGTGTCTTCATAGTACATATCAATATCTGAAATGAATAAGAAGTATTGTCTAGACCAGTGGTTATTTTGTGCCATTGGCCCCTTTAGCAATCTAGTAAAGTCTATGGGCTCATTCTCAAAATAATGTTTCTAGATGCCTAAAATATACCAATTATACTAGAAATACAATTACCAAAATATTTAAAGACTGGGATTTAGTAATCCATGTGCATCTCTATCAATTCCTGAACTAATAATATTTATGTGCAGGCTTAATAATGATCAGAATTTAGAAGTTGTGATGCATCTAAGTGCTATTTTGGGATATTTGCAACAACTGGAATAGGAAATGAAAATATCAGTGAGTTCTATTGGTTACAAAATCACTGGTACTGCTAACATTACTGTAGATTGTTACCTATGTTTGTAATTGAAAAAACTGCTAAACTTCAGTTAGCGATTGGTGGAAAAGGTGTATTATTTTCCTATCCATGCTAATGGATCCTCTGAATTCTATCCATAGATTCTTTGAAAGTCCGTGGACTATAGGGTTAAGAACTCCTATCTTGAAAGGTCAAAAATTATCAGTAGTGATGAGGAAGGGAAGAGTCTGTTGGAACTAATTTTGGTCAGAGATGGAAGATACCTAGTCAACCACAGATAAAAGAGCTAGAAGAAAGCTACCCTCTCTGCCCCTCCATGGAACTAGGGTGTGGGAGGTGAAGATATTTCCAGTTGAGAAGGACATGAGAAAAGCAACGTCTTTGAAGGACAGTCAGGTATCACTTAGAGGAAGGAAGCAGTTTGGGAGGAGGTAGCCTATGGGAGCGAGGGATTTTGTTTATCATCAAGTGGAATCCACTGAGCATAACAGAGTGCGGAGGAGGAGAGGTGGCCGGCCACCGTGGGAAGCTGAGCCACTGGGGCTGGGGGTGGAGGGAGCGCAGAGCAGCAGGCAGAACCTTACTATATTCCAGACAGCAGGCTAGACATTGAGGATATGAAGATGAATAAGACAAGGATGAGTCACCCGTTTAGGATTCATCTAGACCAAATTCTGGTGGCTGATTGGCTGGTTTGGCTGGTCTGATCCATGCACCTCTTCAGAGACTCTGCAAGTCAGAGGCAGTGACAGTAAGACAGGCACAGAGTATCACTAGAGGTTCAGAGGGAAAAAAACCAAAAGACGTAACTCTTCTCTTTCCTGTTTTGATCCCTTTTGCAAAGCAAAAAATGAAGTTAAAAAGTTATGCAATGGAGAAAAAAACGAAGCAGCGCCATGATCGGATCATCTAAACTGGCCAATCATCCAAAAATTAATTAGATGACTCTAGGGGATGCATCTCCCACACTCACTCCAAATTCTTCAAGAACCTTCTAAGGATCTTTGTAACCAATGGATTGTTTGATGCTATTACCCTTCAGAACAATGTTGGCTCAGAGGCATCAGAGGAAGAAAGAAAGGACTATATTTTTAGATTTTTCTGTGGGGCTCCAGAAATACCCTGCACCTGGATCTCTCCTCTGTATGCAGCTCTCAGACTCTACAATTCTGTGATTCTTTTTTAAAAAGCTATTTTCCCCTTCTCTACTAGGGGGATCTTTCAGAAAGCTCAGGTTGGGGGATGCTGCAGGTAGGAGGCATTGGCTGGGCCCAGCTCCTCCTTTGATCATGTTCCCTTCTGGCAGTGGTATCTGAAAATTCCCTGCCCTGGGCCCAGATAATGAGCCTCTTCTAGCATGAAGGGAGGCGGCCTCTCAGGTGGAGAGGCAGCAGACAGACCACGATGAGAGCAGACGACAGCATCCGATGCAGGGCTGAAGCTAAGTTGACCTAGTTAGAGCAGAAAGAGGCTATAGAGGCGGCAGAGATGGTTGAGGAGGGGACAGGGGCAGGGAGAGAGGGAAACTTCCATGTGAGGCAGGCCCAGGACAGGGAGGAATAGAGGGTTGACCATTGTTTAGGAAGCGAGATTTGGGGGCCACCTAGGGGAGCTCTGTGGGGAGACTCAGTGAGCTGGGGTGCATGCGTACTTGTGTGGAGGGTGTGTGCAGGGGAGGGTCTTTACCAGATTTTGCCCAAATATTTAGATTTTAAAGTTATAATCTTGGAGGAATTGAGAAGCAGAAAAATATCTGGACTTCAGGAGAGCCAAGTGGGGATCGCCACTAAACCCAGCAAGAATGAGCAAAAAGCCCAGAGCGTTCTGACAAGATTCCCCAGCAGTGGCTCAAGGAGAGGTCTGGTGTACCCACTGTGTACCACTCCCCCATCCTAGGCGCCATGGGGGCAGATACAGGAAGCAAAGACATGAGCCCAGCCTGGAGGAAAAGCAGCCCATCTGCAGATAGTGCCAGTGGGCGCCACTCTATGTTGGGACCTCCCAGGGGATAGAGAAGTGCCCTTCACAGGCCCTGTCCTTTAGGAGGACACAGTCTATTTGAGAGAGCACTAATCCTTGTGAAGCAACAGTAAACAGTCCAATGCCACATTGTTGTCATACTCCTGGGTCACAGAAGGGATCTCTGGCGTACGTGAGGAGGCTGTAGGAAGGAGGTGGACATTAAACTGAGCCCTGAGGTCTGGGAGGGCAGGATTGGGATGGAGAGAGAGTGAAGACACACAGGTGGGCATAAGTGGGGCTCATGTGGGGACCAACACGAGGTGGCCAGGCTGAGAAGATTGGAGGCCCACCGAGGGGAGATGGAGAAATCCAGCTGGAGGGAGGAGAGTCAGATCACAGAGGGCATTTGAAACTTCTAAAAGGGACTGTGTCAAAATCCAAGATTTGGAAGGGATCCGGCCTTTCTCTCTTCTCCCCTTTAGCTACAAGCCCATCGTGGAATTCATCGATGCTCAGTTTGAAGCTTACCTGCAGGAGGAGCTGAAGATCCGAAGAGTGCTGCACACCTACCATGACTCTCGAATCCACGCCTGCTTGTATTTCATTGCCCCAACGGGGCATTCCCTGAAGTCTCTGGACCTAGTGACAATGAAGAAGCTGGACAGTAAGGTATGGAGGCAGGGCGGGAGGCTGGGCGAGCCGGGCTCACTCTTACTGATTGCTTGTGCAAAGTAGATCCTCTCCCTCGTTCCCTGTCCCTCCCTAAAGATGGTGGTATTGATCCAGCACCTGTGTCACATGCTGTGTGACCTGTTTTCCCAGCACTAGGGATGAGTTTGCCCTGAGCTGTCTGTCTGCCCTGATGCCTCTTGGGAATATGGGTGGATGCAAGCGAGACGGCTGTCCAGGTCTAGGGCTTGCAGCTTTGGCAATGGCAAGGTGTTTTGTCTTTGTCCCAAAATTAACTGGCCTGTGCTAGAATCAAACATGCAAACTTGACTTTGAAAGTTATTCTTGGAAACATGTGTTCCTGTCTTGTGGCCGGAGTAGTGTTTCCCAGCCTGTCGGAATGGCCACTGCAGGTTGAGACCCCTTCACAAGAAACAAAGCTCTCCTTTAAAAATATATATATATATGTATATATATACATAAAGAAAGTTATTATTCTTATTATCAATAATAGTTTATATAATAGCATTTAATATCTGTTAAACTTTCATTGCGTGCCAATCTTGTGAGGTAAATACTATTGTTATCCCCATTTTACAGAAGAGAAAACTGATGCTCTGAGACCTGGTGACTTGCCCATTGTCACATAGCTAGCTACTGGTGGAACCTAGATTCAAACCCAGATCTGTGGCACCACGTTATATTGCCTCCATGCCTGAGAAAAATGGCTGTGGGAACCAGGCATGTCCGTCTTTAAGAAAAACTGAAAAGTGCAAATCACATACCCATGTATGAATTAGACAGTTTTAAAGGGTTGTTTGCTGCACAAAAGAATTGACCACGGGATTCTTCAAAAAGCCTAATTACTAGTACATTTTTTCTTAATGTTTAGTGTGTGCCAGGCACTGTGATGAGTACTTTATATGCATTATTTTATTTCATCATTCCAATAATCCAGTATAATGAATACTATTATTATTCCCATTTTACATATGAGGAAATTGAGGCACAGAGAGTCAAGTAGCTTGCTCAAGGTCACACAACTTGTAATGGGTCCGGGATTTGGACCTAGCTCTTTCTGACTCCAAGGTATTTTATTTTATAAAAATCTAATTTACATGCAGTCATTTAGTAGCACAACCACTATAAAAACAGAATTTCAGCTATCATCAGAATAGGAACAGTTTTTCATTTTTCGCAGCAATGAGCTCACTGTCCATGAATAATAGGCTGCTCCCGAAATGTTGCCATGCCCTGCATGCTCTGTATTAGGGTAGCGTTGAGCCAGGCAGCTGGAGGACTGGTGGGTGGGCTGGGTGAAATAAGCAGCCTTTGACATATGTTTATATTGTGCCGATGGCGACTTGGCGAAAGTGACAAGGACAATTGGCTCTGCCTGGTGTTCCATCTTGGCAAGGGCTTTGACCACCCGCACCCCTGAAAGACTTCAAGGGAGGTGCCTCCAAGGTCCAATCTTTCTTTGCCTCAGCACCTGAAGCCCTGTGTGATATCAACCTTTAGAGCCACTCCTAAGCCAAAGTGCAAAGGAAGCAGGACTTATCTTCCAAGTCTAGAGCTCCCAGACTCCCCTTTCCAAGCCCAGGGCCTGAGCACCACCTATGCCACCCGTTGGAGTCTGCTGACAGGAATGATTGTGCCCTCCATATGACTCTGAGCTTAGGTGCGCTCTGTCTCACGAAGACATGTGCATTTCAAATTTCTTTATCTTCTCGCTGGAAAAGCCTTGTCCCCGCTTAGAGGAATTTCCACGATCAGGGTTCAGGTTGGTTGAACTTTGGGGTGGTATTAGGCCTTTCTCCCACTGTCCGAAATTGGGCATTTATACCTGCTTTCTTTGCCCAGAAACTAATCATGAGACTCAGGCAGTATAACTCCTTCTGCATAAGTCTCAGATCAAATTGGTAAGGAGAGGGTCTTCTTCACCTGCCCGGGTTGGTTAATCAGTGTTTGCTGCCAGAAAGAAAGCCAGATGGGCATCCTCACCGAGCACTGCCCCTGCCTTCCTCCCTGCCATCTCCCAGGTGGGTCCATATCACACCTCGCTGGGGTTAGCCTGGACTGCATAATTTGGGATGATTTACTGTTAACAAGGAGTGGCCACCTCTCCCCCTGCCAACTGCAGATTTTTGGCTATCATCTTTCTGCTTCAAATCGCCCAAGCAGTGACCCCGATACCCAGAGATCTCACAGCTCATCAACTGGGTTCTGACCTGGTAGACAGCTCATGGATAAGACTATGGACTTAGGAATAAGGCTAAATTTGGATTTGAATCCCAGTTCTGCTACTTACCTCCTCTGTGACCTTCGACAAGTTACTTAACCTCTCTATGCCCCAATTTCTCCTTGGTAAAATAGTAGTAATAATACCTCCTGGGAGGGTTATTGTCAGGATTAATTGTGCCAATCCATGTAAAGTACTTAGTTCAGTGCCCAGCACACAGTAAGCACTACGTTGTTATTTATTACATTATTTGGCTATGGAGGTAGCCAGTCCTTGACTGTTGTGCTGAACTGCTCGCTCTGGCAGCTGGTAGAAGTCCTAGGTCATGCTGCTGTCAGTTGCAGGTTACCAATGATGATGCCACTCTGCTCCTCCTTTCCCTAGGTGAACATCATCCCCATCATTGGCAAATCAGATACCATTTCTAAAAGTGAGCTAACGAAGTTCAAAATCAAAATCACCAGCGAGCTTGTCAGCAACGGGGTCCAGATCTATCAGTTCCCTACAGATGACGAGTCGGTGGCAGAGATCAACGGAACCATGAATGTGAGTGGGCGCACAGGGGCTCAACTTTCCGACCATTTGCTCTTTATTATTATTTACCAAATAGTAAAGCATCTTCACCATCCACCTTGACATAGACCACCCTCGATTATCTAAGTCTGAGGTATTTGTGAGAGATATCCAGAACTCAAACAGCACCTCTCTCCTAGTGGTGGCTGCTGCAAAGCCTCAGATATGCAGAGATTAATAGCCAGAGACAGAGGGAAAGGGAAGGCTGACTCCAGGAAGGGGGTGGGACAGGGACTTCAGACCTCTCCTTTCACGCACCTCCTTGGTGCTGCTCTGGTCAAGGCCAGACAGCCCCCATGGGACTGCAGGAAAGGCAGTCTTTGTCTCTGATCAAAACAGTGCTGGGACAATTGATGCAGTGAAAGAAGAAAAGGCTGAAAAAGTTGGCTGGCTTCAGAGACTCAGGGATAAACTCGTACTCAGATAATCAAGCCCTCTGCCCCCAGGAGGACAAATGGTATATAGCCTCCGATGTTGCTGGTGATTAGAGAGATGTTATTTTTAAATATCATGTTTATGCTTTGCTTTATTAAGTGTGAATGAATCAAAAAATACTTGCCGTCTTTCCTCTGCTTCCCCGCTTCCCCCTACCAGAGGAATGAGTAAGAATGAAGGCAGAGAGTCAAACATCTCCTCATGCTTCTTTACAATGTGTTGATGCTGTTGCCTCGAAATTGTCAATGTTGTGATTTCAAGGAGACAGCTAATAGCTTTCAGAAAGCCTCTGCTGTGGGAACAGATTTCTTTTTCCCTATTGAGAGGCATCAGTTTTTCCTAATGACATAATGCCTGGGTATAGCCAAACTCAGGAAAGCCTTGTCATAAAAGCCATTTTTAGAAAACTTTCCTGCTGCTGCTGCCCTCTAAGTTATCATTACAGCATCAGCTGCCACCTCCTATGAATCGGCCAACAATTTAGCATAGCAGGGCAGTGAGCCCTTGTCTCGCCTGACTTCCTGCCCATCAGGACAGTGGAGATAGGTTTGTTATTAGAAGTCCGTCATCATGTTTGACAAATCTAGCTCAAGGGTAAGGCCTTGTGGATTGTGGTAGGTGGAGGAGATATATCCTCTGTGACCGACCATGGGCATGGAAAAAAATAAAAAAGATTACCATTGGTCCTTGTAGGCAGTCAGGGTGTTTTGATGGAAACTAGCCTCTGTTACGATGAGAAAACCTGAAAGGGTGCCCAGCTAGCCAAAAAATGGGAGCCTAGAGAGAAATGTCGTCTGGGTGTCACTGGTGCTGATGTCTGGAAGCATCTAGTCACCTCGGGACATCAGCCCCCGTGGATATCTCCCAAATGCCAATTCCCTAAGTCATCAAGTAGATTTCAGGCTGTGGTTTGCTTTGCTAAGAATAAATAGGGACTGAGAGTTTTCAGCAATCTCAAGGTGTCACATAAAACTCCATTGTGGATTAGGTGTGACAGTCATCCTGGGCTCTGTTCTCAGCTCAGCTCTGGCCCCCTGCTGAGCCTGGGGTAGGCTCAGCTTCAAGGTTGGAAACTCCCCATGCTATGAAGCAGCAGTTCTCAAGCACACTGTGATGGCTGTGAAGGGGTTATGGGTCCTTTGTTACTCATAACAGTCCAAGGGTTGCCAGTATTTCACTTTGAAAAACTAAATTGGAGTGGATTCAGGGTTATCCCTATAATAACGTCACTCACCGCTCGCTCCCTTGCATTCCACCCTGCTCTGGTGAGAAGGAAAGAGAGGAGTGGCTTCACGGCCAGCGTGCCTGGAATTGGGCACGCCTGTGGGAGGGGCCTGCATGTGAGTGCTGGGTGTTATATGTGCTGTGATGGAGGAAAGGGTAGGGTGTCGCTGCTATAAAATGTATATACAAGATCACTTAGCCTGCCTGCCACTGGAACAACTGTGTCAACTGTGTCAAAAGTCCTTGGAGTCTTCAGACAAGCCATGACGTATGAAGCTGCAGCATCAGAGACCTGGGCCCAGGTGGTTGGAAGACTGGGTGCTGGTCTTTCAATTCTGGATTTGACTCCAGCCCCACAGCTTCACCCACCCCAGACAGTTGGCATAGGAACTGGATTGTGCCTGAGTGACAGCATCCTGTCACTCGCCTCAAGGGATTTTCATGGCAGGAAATGAGAGTAATGAGGTCTCAGCATCCCCTTTGACTTATGGGTGGCTCTGGAAAACCTTTCAGATGGCGGGAGGCAAGAGAAGGGAGAGAGAGGTCTTGCTGCATGCTACTTTCAACCCATGCTCTGATATCTTTCAAAGTTGTAGACTTTAGTACTAAAAATTGCCATGTTGTTTAAATTTAAGGTTGTTCTTTGAATGGTTCAAACCGTGGCCAGGGACCAGTGAATAGGCCCAGTTACTCAAGTGAGTTCAGTTGGTTGGCCATTTGGTCTGGGGTTTGGTCCCCACAAAGGCATTTGGCATTTGGGCCTAGTGAGAGCACATGTCTGACCAGTGGAGTCACAGGGAGACCCCAAGCACAAGCTGATCCCTTATCCTGAAATGAGAATGATATCTCCATTGCTTGCATGAACTTTTGCGGGATCCACCAAGGGCTGACCTGAGAGCAAATCAGGTAATGGTCTTCGTTGCCAGTAGGAGCCTGAAATGGGGACAAACATGACCAGCAGCACAACTGGGAGATACTGTCCACCCTGGGAGGAAGGCAAGCCCAATCAGGGTATTATCATCAAATGAGGAATAAAGAGGCCTGCCAGTCTCTGTTTCACTGGGCTGAGGAGAACAATCATCTAGCCTCCCAAGTGTAGTGGATGTGGTAGAATGAAAATAAAATAATTCATGCCAATTGGATCATCAAACCAAGAGGGCTGGGCGCAGGGGCTCACGCATCTAATCCCAGCACTTTGGGAGGCTGAGACAGGAGGACTGCTTAAGGACAGGAGTTCAAGGCCAGCCTGATCAACGTAGTGAGACCCTGTCTCTACAAAAAATAAAAAAATTAGCCGTGCATGGCAGTGTGTGCCTGTAGTCCCAGCTACTCGGGAGGCTGAGGCAGGAGGATTGCTTGAGCCCAGGAGTTTGAGACTGCAGTGAGCTATGATCACGCCACTGCATTCCAGCCTGGGTGATGACAGAGCAAGACCCTGTCTCTAAAATATAAATAAATAAAATAAAATGTACCAAGGGGAACTTAAGGTAGACACGAGAGAGTGTAGCACAAGTAGTGCTATGGTTTGAATATGTCCCCTCCAAAATATCAAGTGTTGCCCGTGTGATTGTTTTAAGAGGTGGGGCCTTTAAGAGGTGATTAGGTCATGATGGCTCCTCTCCTATTAATGGGATTAAGGCCCCTTTAAAAGAGGCTTCAGGCAGCATTGGGCTACCTTGTCCTTCTAAGCTGTCTGTGTTTTAGCAGCAACACTGCCTTCCATCTATCAGATTTTCCTCCCTGGGCCCACACATACAAAATGTCACCCCCGTCAGTCTCCTGCAGGGACTTAGGGGAAAAAAAGGCAGAAAGCCTGGCCTCAGATTTGAATCCTATGGGTAGTACCTAGAAGTATGGTTGAGGGGTTTATCTTCTTGCTCTGTTCGACTCCATTCTGGTCGTCATGGCCATCTGTCTCTCAAAAGCAGCGGGACAGAGGGCCAGAACCTGGTCCCCATAACTTCATGCCTGTCATGGTTAGCTGACTTCCAGCAGAAACCATGAAGCCAGGAGGCACAGCACAGGCCACCCTGGGTGGCTGGGGGAGGTTAGCAGGCAAAGCTTTCCTCCTTGGGACTACTGGGCATGGGGTTAGGGACCTGGGCAACTCATTTAACCTCTCTGTATCCCAATTCCCCCAAATCACGAAGGGGGTTTATCATTGTTGCCCTATAAGGCTGTTGTGAGAGTTGGAACAAAAGGGGAGCACTCAGAAATGCCCACCTTGCATATGCTTGTCAGAACAGACTCTAATCTGACACTAGTTGCAAAGGCGTGTGCAGCGGGAGGGGGGCTCGGGAGTCCTCTAAAGTCTTTTTGGTGGGGGCTGTGTTTTAGAGCAGGGGGGAAGCGAGAGGAATAAAATGACAGCAGTTTTGAGCAAGAGGGGGAAGTAAGTGACCTTGTCGTCCTGGCAATGTCTCTTGATGATAGAAATAACAGGCCCAAGGCAATACTGACGTTTCTTTATGTCTTTATTTTTTTCTTGGGTTTTTTTCCTCCTTTTTTCTTAAGCCCCAAGAAGCACCTCCCACTTCAACCGCCTTCCTCTTCCGTCACTTACAGCTGAGAGCCCAGGATGAGCAAGCATGATACAAGGCTTCCCTTTCTCACTTCCTCCCTCGGTCTAGCCCTCTGCAGTCGCTGCTTCTTGGCTCTTTTGTGTCTTGTGGCCGAAGCTTCGGGGGGAGGGGGGTCTCTGCAGGGGAGACATTTTCCTGGAAAGTGTTTGGGGGTGGATTTGAGGCTCCTGACATGTCTTATGTCCCTGAGTGGGAATTAATTGTGGCCAGATGACACCCCCACCCCCGCTCATACACACACAAAGGCAGCTGGCAAAGGCTGGAGATGCTCAGGCCTTTGGGCAGCATTTGCAAGAATTCCGTGCTCGCCAAATGTCCCACGTGTCACATGCCCAGTTACCCTGTTGATCATTCTGTTACCCCTACTAGCACTGATGAAATATTTCCCACCTCCACCCCACGCCCACCTTCCATATCCATAACCTCCTCTTTTCTATGTCCCTATTTTGGGGACAGTCAGTGGAATGGGAAGGAGTCAGGCAGTGGCTGAGAGAGGGGAGAGGGTGAAGGAAGAACAGCTGCAGCTGGTGGCTAAGCCCCTTGGGGGATCAGTGGATATCCTGGAGCTGAGCTCCTGATGAAATCCTGGGTCTTTCCCCAATTCTAAAGGACATTCTTGGGGTCCAGAGCTAGATAAGAATGGAGAGGACGGATTGGCTACGAGATCAACATGCAGATTAAACACACAAGCAACAGATTTTCTGTGGGGTTCCCAAATTGAACTGAGTCTTATAATCTGGCTTTGCACAACCAGTTCCCCCCAGGATTTAGAGTGCTCACCATATCTGCTGCCCAAACCCCTCAAATGGGAGTAGCAGACCAGCAAGGGCTGGGCTTTGAAGTCAGAGACCAGTATTCCACACCTAGCTCTGTTCCTTACTGTTGCATGCCTGCTGGCAAGTCACTTAGCCTCTGGACCTCGGTTTCCCCGTCTATGACACAGGGATAATAAGACCACCCACCTCATAGTGTTGTTGTAAAGCTTCAATGAGATAATGCCATGTATAGCACCTAGTACACACACATAGAGCTTAATAAATTGCTGCTGCTGCTGGTACTATTGGTATGATTGGTACTACCTACTCTGACGTCTTCTTTGACGCCCCACGAAGTTAGTGGCTCCCTCCTCTGTGTTCCTCCAGCCCATGAGCCTCTGTTTACATCCCTGATCTTCCTGTATTATCATTGCTGGCAAGTTTTTCTCCCTGAGCAGAACGTGCGCTCTCTGGGGGGCAGGCTCTGTGCTTTGATGTTGTATTCCTCTTAATGCCTAGCGTATAGTAGGAGCTCAGTAAATATTTGTAGAATGGATGAGTGAGCAAATGGGTCAAAATATCTGAGAGGATGGCCCGTTTCTCCAAGCAGGCTAAGAAAGCTTGCTCCACTGGACTTTTTACCTGTTGGGGTTAAAACCCCACCTGGGCTCACCTGGTTTGTAAATAATGTTTATTCCATGATTCCATTTGGCCAGTCGTGACTCAGCACTTACAAGCTGGGCAGCTCCCTCCGGACCGGGCCTGTGAGCATTTCCCAGGCCCCACACTACCTAGAGAAGCAGCTCGCTCTTCTCTGACCGACAAAGCCAGGCCCAGCTCCTTGTTTCCCTGCAGGCACCAAGCTCCTAACCCTGTTCGTACTTTGCCTTTCTTTCCTCTCTCCTGCTCCCATAGCCCAACCACTGCCATTCAAGTACTTATTAAGCACCTACTATTTGCAGGGTGCCAGACCATATATTTGAGCCCTTGGTCACATGCTGTCTCATATGACTTCAGTGATGTAACCTGGCCTTCCTCAACAGGACTGTGAGGGCGAGGGAGTGTGTCTTCTACTTTTCTGTCTCCCTTGCAGCACCTGCAACAGAACCCAGCACAGTCATGGGCGTGTGGGTAAATACTTGCCTTCTAGGCTCACAAGTTTAGTGTGAGCTCTTTTTGCACGGAAGGATGAGAGCAAGGACGGTACAGCTCAGTCAGCTGCGTGGCTTTAGTATGTACCTATTCTTGGGGCTCTGGTCCTCCGGGAGGGGGGCAGTGATCCCAGCCCCCTTGGTTTTCGTTTATCCTGCCTATTCACACGGAACCTCCGTCTTGCAAAGGCCCGTCCCTTGGCAGCAACTCTGAATAGTTAATAGCTTGCTAATCTATGTATCTGCTTATTATTCTGCTTATTTTCTCGCTTTGTCCTTTCCCTATGCATTCAGCCATGTCATTGTTATCTTCTATTGTGAATTTCTGAACAGCAGAAGCTTGGACTAGGCCGCTTATCCCCACACAGCTCAGGAGCTTAATAAATGCCTCTTGATGATGATGACAGTGAGGGATGCTGCAGGGTGAGGGCCTGAGGCCCCCGAGACGAGCGGCAGTTGGATCGTGGGGTGCTCAGTGATTTTCCTCCAGAGTTCTCAGCTTTTGTTTGCCTTCGGTTTCAGGCCCACCTGCCGTTTGCTGTCATCGGCAGCACAGAAGAAGTGAAGATAGGCAACAAGATGATGAAGGCGCGGCAGTATCCTTGGGGCACTGTGCAGGGTGAGTGAGTCTCCAGGAGAGGGGTAGCACTCAGGAAGCTCGTTTTGTCTCTTTACTTGTCCCCAGCCACTGTATGACAAGTCCCTAATTTGTCCCCCAGTCCCTGCTCATTCAGCATGGGTCTCACATAGCCATAGGTGTCACTAGCAGCCAAACTGTGGTGCCATACCTGGGTTCTCTGATGTGAGCAAGCTCCCTTTGTCTCTAACAGAGTAAGCATTCCTAAAGCAAAGCCAAACAGACTTGGAGCAAGGTAGGAAGGAGTGTGCAAAAAAGCATGTATACTTGCCCAAGTGCACCAGGAGATATACAAGAATGTTCATAGCAGTGTTGTTCATAAGGACAAATAATTAGAAACAACCCAGACATCCATTAAAATAGACTGGATAAATTGTGAAATATTCATACAATGGGATATTATATAGCAGCAAAAATGAATGAACTGCAGTTACATCTCCATGCATGAATCTCAGAAACATCATGGTGAGCTAAATAAATCATAGAAGAATACATAATGTAGGATTCCATTTGTATGAATTCTAAAAGTAGGCAAAACTAAACAAGATATATATTTTCGGGAATTTATACATAAGTGGTAAAACTATAAAGAAAAACAAAAGAATGATAACCCCCAAAGTCAAGATAGTGGTTAAGTCTCATTGCTGGGGGTGGGGGGTGAGGGGATGGAGAAGGGGGCATGAAATCAGGAAGGAGCATGCAGGGGCTTTTAAGGTACTGGCACTGTTTAAGCCAGGTTGTAGAGACATTGGTGTTCACACATTTCTTGCACTCTTTTGTATGTATGATTTCACAATTTAAAAATCAGGTATATTGTATATACACTCAGGAAAGTTCCTTTTGTGGTCTGCCTGACACATGTTAAGTTACTCTTGGGGCTAGTTGGTTCAGTGGACAAGACAAGGCCTAGGATGCTACCATAGGTAGAAGAGGTCTCTGGTCCTGTTGAATCTACAGCTATAAACTGGGCCATGGATTACAGGGGCACCATTTGTGAGGGTGGATGGTTCCCTATAAACTCATCCCAATTACTGGGCAAAGAACTGAAAGTGGGTAGTGAATTGTCCATATCACATTCAAAGGCTGGCATGTTTTAGGACACTCCAGAGACCCACTGGTGATAGCTGGATTTTCCATAGGTAGGATAGGACTGGTTACCAGAGCTGTGCTAAGTTTTGGTCTTTGCTGTTTGGGGCTAGGGAAGTCCCACCAGGAACATTTGCAAATGGTTTCTGGACCAACAGCCCCACCCTGGGAATAAATCTGGTCTGAGAGAGAGGAACCTGAGGTGAGATGAGGAGAAGCCAGCAGATGGGGTTCCAGTGACTTCCTTCCTCTAACTTGGACTACCCCACACCTAACCAAAAACAGGCGGGTTTGAAAGTTTTTCTTGTAACTCTGAGTTGACTGTTCTTTTGGAATGAGGAAGAAATTGTCTGTTGCTTGGGTACCCTGCAGAGGCCTTGGAGTCCCTCCTTCTGACTGACCACCAGAGATGGAGGAGGAGATGGCATATAGCATAGTCCTGAGTTATTGTCTTGCTGGTGCAATTTCTAGTGTTAGCTTATGTTTTGTTTATTTATTTTTTATTTTTTTATTATTTTTTTAAGCCAGTCAAATGTAGCAAGTGTTAGCTTATGTTTTATGACAGTAGGGGGCTTTATGCCTAGGTAAGTGGATCTTAAGCAGAGGGATTCTGTGAGCTGATGCGGGCATTGGAAAGGCAACAGGTTGCAACTATGGCCACAAGGCAGCCTGCTGCAACTATGCCAGACCCTGACATCCCAGACCGCTTCTCCGCACCCACTACCTTCTCCCAGACCCTGCAAGACAGAATCCAGGGTGACTGTGGCTGTTCATCATCCCAGACACTACTGTCCTTACATGGTCAGGCCAAATACCACCATCTGACACACCGGAGCCACACCTGTAGCCACCTTGACAGAGCACTGCTCAGGACCTTCTGGCCCATCCAGAAATCAACTTGGCTATGATTTGGTCCACATCTGTCATTCTTGGCCACTGCCACCCAAAATGCAGACCTTTGCCACACTCTCTTGAGGTGGGGACTTGCTCACTCAGGCCAAAAAGTGGGGTCCCCTTGCTCCTGGTCACCATTGCCGCTGTCAGGCCGTTATCCACCCTCTAAAAAAAACACCTCCCTGGAAGCTTCTACCATCCAGATGGACCATGCCTGTGGTCCACACCCCTCCTTGTCACTGTCATCTATTGATATCCTAGTTCTTTACCCTTAGTCTTTGAGAACTTTGTTACCTGGTCATAGCCTTTGTCTCTCCCCTACGTTGCCTGGGTTTGAATCCTAACTCTGCAACTTGCTAGCTACGTAACCTTGCCTAACTTCATTGAGACCTTGTGAGGACTGTCTCCTTCTCTGCCTGACAAATTCCTATTCTTCCTTCCAGAGTCATCTTAGGGGTTGTCTCTTCAGTGAAGCCTTCACTCTCCCAGGAGTTCTTAGGCCCCCCCTCTTCTGAGCTTTCATTGCAACTCAGCTATACCTCCATATTTTTTTTTTTTTTTGGTAATTTTGCATTGTACTGTATTTGTATATCTGCATCTATTCTTCCACCAAACTGTAAGCTCCCGAGGGCAAGACTCCATGACTCTGTTTCTGAATTCCCAGTGCCTCGTACAATACTGGGAACAGGGGTACCACAAACATATGTTGGCTGGATGGATGAATGTGCAGTTGCTATTGTCCCCAAAGTGGTGCAGAACAAACTTTCCTGTGAGGGTTCTGATTGGTGCATTTAAGTTAAGGTACTACTGAGCGTCTTCTTAGGTATTTTTATGGTATTACAGCTTTTCATTACTGCCATTTTGGTAACTTTTAGTTTGCATTTTCAGTAGAAAAGCAAATTAGGAGGTAAACTGTCAGGTTCTATATACACGGATTGCAAGGCGATGTCATCGTTAGACATTTCGCCTTTTATTTTCTCCCCTTTCTGCTTCTGCTGGCCTTTTAATACCCCAAACCCTGCTGTGCAGTTGAAAACGAGGCCCACTGCGACTTTGTGAAGCTGCGGGAGATGCTGATTCGGGTCAACATGGAGGATCTGCGGGAGCAGACCCACACCCGGCACTATGAGCTGTACCGCCGCTGTAAGCTGGAGGAGATGGGCTTCAAGGACACCGACCCTGACAACAAACCATTCAGGTACCACTCCCGCCAGCCCAGCTCAGCTCAGCTCACCCAGGTGGCATGGAAGCCTTGGCCTGCAGAGTTCACAGGGGAGGCAAGACACAGGTGCTAAAAGCTAGAGAAGCGGGGGTAACTCACGCGCCAGTTCTGCTTGCCTGATCCCCCTCTGCCTCCGCACACCCGCCCGCAGAGCTGTGGCAGGGCAGGCTTGGAACTGCCCTGCTTATAAGGGCAAGGAGAGAGAATCACCGAGGCTGAACACGCGCATGCGTGCACGCACACGGCAGCTCCAGTCAGCTGCGCTGGAGGGGGACCCTGCGCTGGGGCCTTGTGACACAGGGTGGCAGTTTGTAACTGTCCTCTGCCCCTCTTTCTTCATCACATCAGGCTCCTGCTGCTCAGGCAGGTTTCCAGTCTGTTCTCCCCATTCTCAAAACCAGGTAGGACCAGGAAGCAGACACGTATCGAACTGCACGCTCTTCGTCCGCCGTCCTAAGTGTTCGCATCAAGTGCAAGTTTTATTTCGACCACAGGATGTCAGTAATCATGGGTGTATTTCTCAAATCAAAATCTAAGATGCTTCCAGAGACATGGAATGTTTCTGAAAGCAGGTTATTATGCGGATAGGAGCAATATGCCAAGTAGAAGCGTCTGATCTGTATGTGTGGTGTGCGACACCAGCACCACAGTTTAAATCAGCACGTGGCGCCCTTTATTTGGCTTGGTCTCCTTTTAAGAAATGTCAGGCACTGATAAGCACGTGAGGGAGATGTCTGTGTGCTAAGGTGGCTTTCAAATGGCCTCTGAGATTCCCACAGTACCTGTTCACAACTGAAAGCCATCCTGGGGACAGAGCCTAGCCAGTCCTTTGGCGGGGCAGACTCACCCCTGCACGGACAGGCAGGGCCAGCAGCCACTGGAGCCGCTCCCATTCGCCCATGCTCCAGCCTGAATACCTCTGTTTCCCTAGTCTTCACCGTCTTCACTCCTTCTCTGCCGACTTCTTTCCATTTTGCATGTAAACATTCTCATGCTAAAGAAACTCTGCCTTAACTCTGCTCTTCCTCTGCCCCATAAAGTTTGGCTCTCACGAGAAGGAGAAAGAGTTGTTCTATATTTACTGGTTCCTCTCCTCCATCTTTCATTTATTCCTCAACCCAGCGCAGTCTTGCTTCTGCCCCTAGCACGCCACTGAAATGCCTCTCTCCAAGGCCAGCAATAGCAGACTTGTGGCCAATTTCAGTGTGGCCTTTGAGTCACAACTTAATTGATCTCGACACAACATTTGATACTATTCCCCGCTGCCTCCTTCTTGAAATACTCTCTGGCTTGGGCTTTTCTAGTGCTGGCCTGGCTGGCTTTATTCCCAGGTCTCTTGCTACTCCTTAGCCTCATTTGCAGGCTCATTTTTCTTCAGATTCCTCCTTTGTATGCTGGTATCCCCCGGGATGCTTTCCTAGGGCCTCTGCTCCTTCCACTCTCTGTTCTCTTTGCAGCTGACTCTTTCTACTCTCACAGCCCTAATTACCACCTAGAAGTAGATGACTCCCAAGCTAAACTCTTACTTTCAAGCTCTAAGCTCATCGATCCAACTGTATACTAGTCATCTCCACTCAGACATCCCAGAAACTCAAGCTGTCTACAATCTAGTTTATCTTCTTCTCTTAAACATACTCCTTCTCCAGTGTTCCCTGTTGCAGTTAATGGTACCACAACCCAGCTGGTTGCCCAAGCCTAAAACCGGAATTATCTTTGATTCCTCCCAAGTCCCGGGAGCTCTGCTTCCCTTGCTGTTCTCGAAGTTCCCTCCATTCCCTACCAGCCCTTAATATTAAGATCCTGTGGTTGCTTGGATTGTTGGAAAGGCTGTCCTGCAGTCAACAGCCAGACTGGTCTTTCTCATTTGCAAATCAGATCTAATCGGACTTCTTGCTTAAAACCATGCAGCGGATATATATCTGATTTTTTTTTTTTAATATGGCATCCAAAGCCTGTTCTCCTCTGCTAGATGTAGGAACCTCATCTCCTGCCACTGCACAGCTTACACAATGCTCTCCAGTCATGGTGAACCATGCCTGGCTCCCCACGAATGCCATTCTCTCTCCACATGTGCTTTTACACATGCCGCCCTCTTCGGAGCACAGTTGTCCCTTCTTCACCAGGCTAGCTCCTATTTCCTTAAAAATATGTCCAGGCCGGGGGCAGGGGGCCTTAGCCCAGGCATCTCCCACTATACTGTGAGTTCCTTGATGGCAACATGGTGGCCATTGGCCCTAGATGCTGAGTGACTAGCACCGTGTCAGTTAGCACTGTCTCTAGCTCATGGTAGAGTCTCATCAAGTGTTCGTTGATATAATTAACATGGTCAGTTTCAGAGCCAGGGCCTGGCAGCATAGTGCAGTGGGAGGGCCACGTGAAGAGACAAGAGACCCATTTTCTGGTGCCATATCTGCCTTTAACTAGCTGTGTGATCTTGAGCAAGTCACTTCACCTCTCTGGGCCTCAGTTTCTTCACCTGTAAAATGAGAGTATAGACCCAGTTGTTCTAAGTCTATCCAGTTCACCAGGGCTGCCCCATCCCCCTCCAGAAGCCCTGCAATCATGCTGTCACCAGCCAGGCCAGGTGCTCACAGTTTTGTAGTTGTTTTTGCACCTGGCTCCTAATTGAGGGAGGGAGGATGGAGGAACCCAGGGAGGATGGTTGAGGCCAGTTTTCATCCAATAGGAGCCATTCTGAAGGCAGAGGAATTAACCTGACCATGTTTGCAGCTTGCAGGAGACATATGAGGCCAAAAGGAATGAGTTCCTAGGGGAGCTCCAGAAAAAAGAAGAGGAGATGAGACAGATGTTCGTCCAGAGAGTGAAAGAGAAAGAAGCAGAACTCAAAGAGGCAGAGAAAGAGGTAAATGTGAGCCTGGGTGCCGGGCAGGAAGGGGAAGAGGGCTGAACACGGCATGGAAGCTCAAGGGCTTCTGCCTCAAGAGAGCAGCCAGTGGGAGCTTTGCAGCCTCTGGGCAAGAATGGGCGTCTGTAGCCCTGCCTTGGCTGTCACAAAGAGGGCTATGAGATCTTTGTCTTTTTCGTAGAAACAGGATCTCACTATGTTGCCCAGGCTGGTCTTGAACCCCTGGCCTCAAGCCATCCTCCCGCCTCAGCCTCCCAAATTGCTGGGATTATAGGCATGAGCCACCATGCCCAGCCAGATCTGTGTCTTCTTGACCCGGCATTCCCAAGGCCAGGATGTTTTCTCATTCTGTGTCACTTAATTCTCCAGAGCCTAGCCGTCCCATATGGTAGCCACTAGCTGCATGTGACTAATTTTTTTTGAAATTTCTAAATTGCATTTTTAATTGACAAACAACTGTCTATATTTATGGGGTGTAATGTGATGCTTTGATATACATTTACATTGTGGGATGATTAAATCAAGCTAATTAACAAATCCATCACCTCACATACTTATTTTTTGTGTGTGGTGAAAACATTTAAAATCTACTCTTTTAGCAATTTTGAAATATACAGTAAAATTTTAAACTCAGTTTCTCAGTCGCATTAGCCACATTTCAAATGCTCAGTCCTGGCTGGGCACGGTGGCTCACGCCTGTAATCCTAGCTCTCTGGGAGGCCGAGGCGGGCGGATTGTTTGAGCTCAGGAGTTCGAAACCAGCCTGAGCAAGAGCGAGACCCCGTCTCTACTAAAAATAGAAAGAAATTAATTGGACAACTAAAAATATATAGAAAAAACTAGCCGGGCATGGTGGCGCATGCCTGTAATCCCAGCTACTCGGGAGGCTGAGGCAGGAGGATCGCTTGAGCCCAGGAGTGTGAGGTTGCTGTGAGCTAGGCTGACGCCACGGCACTCTAGCCAGGGCAACACAGTGAGACTCTGTCTCAAAAAAAAAAAAAAATGCTCAGTCCTCGTGTACCTAGTGGCTATCATATTGAACAGCACAGATACAGAACATTTCCACGGTCATAGATGGTTTGGTTCTATTGGGTAGCACAACTGCAGAGGCAAGCCCTGGAGGTCAGGTGCGGGGGGGATTCTTTTCCCTCTTCCTGGGGATTTGGAGCTCAGTAGGGACAACTGATCACTTTCTCAGCTGTCCTACCCTATCCCACCTTCTCTGATCAGGCTGTGGGGAGAAAGATGGTCTCAGGCAGTCCTGAGTACTTTGCTGAAACCTACAACAGTGACAGTTGGGGCATTTCCCCTTGCACTTGGATATCCTGTTCCATTTCATTTTAAACATCTCTGCAGCTCTGGGCAGTTTTAAAACTAAGGTCTGATGGTCCTATCTGGGGTTTTCATTGCTTACGCTATGCCTACGCGTGTGTAGTTAGTCCTCTATCCAGTGGCCTTGCCTCTAAGTTCTATCTTGCCGATTCACCTATTGCTGCCTAAGTTGCAGTTTTGGTCATGTCAGCCACGGCTTCACCTCTCTGGGCCTGAAAACCCTCAATTAGAAAGAAGGGAAGCACCTGATCGCTTCCCAAGTCTGTTCCACCTTTAATCTGCTGTGACTCTCAAGGGTTATCACTTGAAAGCCCATGGCAAGGGTATTGGTTTTATATCAGTTTCACTTGTAAAAAGAAAAATGTCACCCAGCACTTTTAGGAGAGGTGAGGGGATCTCAAAGATAAATGAATAAAAGTGCAATGAACAAAAGCCAGGTTAAAGCAACTGATAGGCAGCCCAAGTGGCACCCCCACCCCAAGCGACCAGTAAAAACTGGTTTATGTAGCAAGTGGTCATTCACCACACCTTATTAAGTGACAGTCCCAAATACCCATAGGACCGGAATTCACCTTCATGGTGTGCTGCAAGTGCTACAGGATCCTAAATTCTCCCCCGAATCCTCATAAGAAAGTGAAGTTATGCTTGGTCTGCTCTTATTATTCAGGGTAGTTTCTCCCACTCTAGTTAGTGACCACCCGTACCTCTTCCTCTCTGAGCCACTTACCACAATAGCGTGCCAGAATATTCTTCCTGTTCTTTGAGTCTCTGGTTCTATTCAGGGCTAGTTAAGGCTGAGGTCTCCCTACTCATTCCATGTTATAAAATCCTCGTATGGGCTGGGCGTGGTAGCTCATGCCTGTAATCCCAGTGCTTTGGGGAGGCTAAGGCAAAAGGGTTGCTTGAACCCAGGAGTTCGAGATCAGCCTTGGCAAAATAGTGAGATCCCATCTCCACAAAAAAATTTAAAAATTAGCCATGCGTAGTGGCGCACACCTGTAGTCCCAGCTACTTGGGAGGCTGAGGCAAGGGGATCACTTGAGCCAGGAGTTCAAGGCTGCAGTGAGCTATGATTGTGTCACTGCATTCCAGCCTGGGCAACAGAGAGAGACCCAGTCTCCAAAAAAAAAAAAAAAATCCTTTTATCTCCTTCCACGTCCAAGGCCAAGTATTTCCTTTGACAAGCTTTGCCATTGCTAAAGTTTTCTCTGGAATCCATGGTGATCCTCCCTGATTGCAGGGGATTAAAAAAACGCAGGGGTCCCTTACATATGGGAGGTCCCATTATATAATTCTCTAAAGAGTAGGTTGACCTTGGGCAAATTCCTTAACTTCTCAGACCCTCTGTTTCTTTGTAAAATGGAGATAATAACAGAACCTACCTCACAGGATTATTGTAACAATTAAATGAATTAATACACATAAAGTGCTTATAAAAGTCATTGCTTGGCCTATAATAAACTCTCAGGGAATGTCATATTATTATTAATGTTATTATTTATCATGTGTGGTAACTATGGGAGACTCAAGCAGAATGTGCTGTTCCTTGAGTGTATTCAGGAGCAGAGACTTTGAGATAAAATGGCAGGAGGCGAGAACCATCCAGAGCGTGGCCCTCTCTGGTGCCATCATGGCAGTCCCTGGCAGAAATGTCTCCTGAGGCCCCAGGGTCCTGCAGGGTTGCAGCCTTGCCAGTCCCTACCTTGCCCAGGCTTGGCTAGGCTCGAGGCTGCTCATGGGGGGCTCCCCTCAATCTCCCTGCGCTTCCCTGGCAGCTTCATGAGAAGTTTGATCGCCTGAAGAAACTGCACCAGGACGAGAAGAAGAAGCTGGAGGATAAGAAGAAATCTCTGGACGATGAAATACACGCTTTTAAACAGAGAAAGACGGCAGCCGAGCTGCTCCAGGCCCAGGGTCCCCAGGCTGGAGGTACACAGACTCTGAAGAGGGACAAAGAAAAGAAAAAGTAAGTAGTAGGCTGTTCTGGGTGGTGGCTTCTTTCTCCTCCCGCTCCTCCCCTCGAGGCAGGACCTGAAGGCTGAGGGAGTTCAGCGCTGGTGACCAGAGGCGAGCCACGGGCTGTCAGACTAATTTGGGTACCCATCACAAGTGTCAGCATCCCCATGGGACCTTTGGACTCCTTGAGTTTGGGGAGCTTGGAGCAGGGGCAGGCTGTGGTCCCAGAGGCCCTGACCCTCTGTTTGACTGGCTTAGGAAAGCCCTGCAAACTCAAGGTAGATGGGAGGGGAAGGGAAAAGAGAAGAAAAGCAAAGGGAGCGTGAGAGCAGAAGGGAGGAAAAGATAAGAGGTACAAAGTTATACCAAAGAGAGGAACAGAAAGAAGGGGAGATAGAGGGTGGTGGAAGAAGGAGATCCTTTAGCAGAAGCCTCTGGGCAACTTTTTCCCCACCTCTTGTGAGGTTGGAGCTGATCTGGCTTCCAGGCCTACTTGCTCCTCATGTATCTGATGTAGTTCGCTCCTCCATGAGCCCTGAAGCCCCACCCCCTCGCTACCCCTCCCTTGCTGGCTGCTTAGTTGTGCCCAGCCTGGGGTGCTGAGGACTCTGCAGGGAGCCCTCAGATGCCAGTGTACTCTGTGTGGGCCCCATCCTCAATCTAGGAAGTGATTTTAAAACCAATCTCTATCCCCTGGTATTTGCTAAGGCAAGATACAGTATGAGCTCCTGGTTACCTTGTGGGTCAATAATCCTGACCCAACCCCAGTCTCTGCTTCTGGAAGTTGTTACCCAATTCCTTATTCCAGAACCAGAGAAAGGTATTTCTGACGGGACCCATACGACACCAAGAAAACACTCAGTGGTCCCCTTATGCCCTGTAGTTGTTTGTACAGTGTGACCAGAGGAGCTCCCAGATGGAGTGTTTAACGGTGCCCTTACTAAAGGGTCCTGAGGATCCGAAAGATGTCCATGGCCATTGCCTTCTATTTTTAGCCACTTGTTCCTGGATTTAACTATTGGACATTTGCCAGAAGGAAGAAACATCTTCCTTTCCTCTGTGCCTGGTTTATCACTTAGGAAAAACATAGTGACTTTTGTACGACAGTAAAATATTTTATATTCGAAGGCACTCAGTTTTTGCAATCCAATGATTCTCTATTCAAATATGTAAATTGAACATTTTCACAGATTAGTCCAGAGATTTTTTTTGTTACTGAATCTCAATACCATATGTCAAATTCACTGATTAATTAGCATTTTGGGTATTACGTGCTGAATAAAGTTCAACTAGCCCCCGGGGTTGGGGAGTCTCTTTGGGTACACCCTATACTGTGTTAACTGTCATGGTGTATTAGTTGCACCAGCAGGAATGGATTCTTATTTTTAAGATGAGAAAAATCTAAATTTGTCTTCCAGCTCTAACCTGCTACCCTCATAGTCCTGTGGTATTTGTTAACTCAATCCCTAGGGCAGTTTCACAGCCTGCTTGTGGGAATTAGGAGATTAGTGTCAGTGCAGTCTGAACAAACTACACTATAAATATTCCTTGTTCAGGTGTTCCGTAAAAGTTCCTCTCAGACCAGGCTTTCCCCTCGTTGCCTCAAATTGACTGATTTTCCCCACCCCAGGCAGAAGACTCTATAAAGGGAGACACCTCTCTCCAGTCTCCAGGAATATTTGGGATTGGTGATGGTGCCCTTTTCAAATTCTGAGATGGGTGAAAACCTTGCTTGTGTGTGGTACCTCCTGTTAGCAATAAGGGCCTGACAAAATGGCCTGTCCTCTGTACTTCCAGATACCCAAGTGGCCCCAGGTCTCGGCTTCTTAGATAATTTCATGAACAATTGGGAGAGCTACCGTTAGACCTGTGCCACTCTGCTCCCACGGTGGTGGTGGTGGTGGTGGTGGGTTCTGAGGGTAGAGATGGTGGTAGTAGTATTTCTCCTTGAGAGATGGTGATTGGATCTAATAGCCACACATGCAGAATTTCTTTTGGCTGCTCCTAAAGAGATCACGAAAGAGTTCCAGTGTTTCAGGGGTCCCTACCAGTCCACCCTTCCCACTTCCCCTTCCCGCTACTCCTAATCTCCTTTGACCTCTAACTCCTCATAGTTTGTGTCAATTCATAATTGATTTCTCCTCATGCACACCCCATCTTCATCAGCTCTTACTGTTTTACAGTTAACCCTGCTGTTTGCTGCATGCTGCATGAGACCCAGGGTCCCGGTAAGCTTTGTTAACTCTAAATAGAACTGGCCGTGGCTTCCAGAAAATACCTTCCTTCAATTCCACACTCCCAACACACATATCTAATCATAAGAGAAGCTGTTTCATTGATCTAGCTGGTTTCCTTTTGTCATTTATAATCTTACGAAATAGCCTGGTGTGGTTTCAAGTGTACATGTGGAATGCCTGCCTGCCTGATCAAAAGGGGGGATATTCTCAGACTTTTGCTGCTAGAACAACAGCTGGGTAGCATAGGTGGATCCTGTGATCAATATTTGAGGTTTCGATTTTGGCATTTTTTTTCTTTTTTTTTTTTTGAGACAGAGTCTCACTGTGTTGCCCGGGCTAGAGTGAGTGCCGTGGCATCAGCCTAGCTCACAGCAACCTCAAACTCCTGGGCTCAAGCGATCCTTCTGCCTCAGCCTCCCGAGTAGCTGGGACTACAGGCATGCGCCACCATGCCCGGCTAATTTTTTCTATATATTTTTAGTTTTCCGATTAATTTCTTTCTATTTTAGTAGAGACGGGGGTCTCGCTTTTGCTCAGGCTGGTTTCGAACTCCTGAGCTCAAACAATCTGCCTGCCTCGGCCTCCCAGAATGCTAGGATTACAGGCGTGAGCCACCGCGCCCGGCCTGCATTTTTTTTCTTAAAGAGCCATAACCATTACTTTCAAAATTAACTATAGTGGCAAGAGAAACTTTGGGGTTCTCAAACGCTGTCCTGCAATGTCACAGGACATTGAGAATGTTCAGAGCCAATGGAAACTTGCTTCTCTGTTTCCTTTTGGTGGCTGTTTCTTATCTGAGGGGTTCAAGTTCTCAAATTTTCTTTGGCTGTGTACCTTCTAAAATCATAATAAAAGGGGAAGCAAATGAAGAGATCTCAGATAGTATAGAGAATTCCTTACATTTAATTCTACAAGTACCAGCTTCATGAAAACCTCTGATAAGGAGTTAGGCAGGTGACCTTTGGTAGCAAGGATTCCTGAGTGCTAGCTGTTGTGTCTGCAGAAGTGGACAAAGCAGTTCCTGGCATCACCTGGTTTATAGGGAGAACAAAAGCAGTAATTAAGCACCTTCTATCTATTCTACTAGACTCAGGTAGTAGAGTGGGCATATAAATATTTTTAATTTAAAATTTATTATTTTTTATTGTTTCTTAAACTTTGCCATGGAAACTTTAAAACACAAACAAAAGAAGATAGGATAGTACAATGGGGCCCCATGTACTCACAACCCAGCCCCCAAACAACTGTCAACATATGGCCAATCCTGTTTCATCAATTACCCCAGACCTGCTGAATTATTATAAAGCAAAACTCATATAATTTTATCCATAAATATTTTAGTATATATCTCAGAGAGATAACGGATCTTTAAAAAAATGTAAACACAATCCCATCATTATCACACCTAGAAAATTAACAATAATTTGTTAACATAAAATGTCTAATCGGTGTTTGAAATATCCCGATTGTCTCATAAATGCCTTTTTACATTTAGTATGTTTAGATCAGGGAATATAAAATATTGAAGACTTTTCCCCACTCACCGATGTAGTTTATGATTTAAATGGAGAGCCTGCTATTAGTCACCAAACTGATTGCTGCAGCTTTTGCACTTGGGGCCTTTGGGCAGCTGGCAAAACATCCTACTTTCAAGCAAATCCCAAAGAGGAAGTCCAAAGAGGCTTCTGAAACATAAGGCCCGAGAATCTGGGCCAAAGGCAACAATCTTAAAAGAGCAATGAAATGATTTACTATCTGGTTTAAAGGAAAGTCGTGGAGCTCTTGCTAGTTAACTGGAATTAAACAGCAGATTTAGGAAGACTATACATTCCTAGAGTGTCTCCACCGCTGTGGTCCCAGTGCCTAGCAAAGTGTCTGGCCTGCAATAGGAGCTCAATTCATGCGTATTTTCTTTGTTCCCCCATTTTCAATGAGGAGAGCAAGAAAGATGTATTTTAGTAAATTAGATTTCAATTAATTCAGGTTTCATTGCACATGGCTTGACACAGTTTCATTCAGGTTTCCCCAGGTAAATCATTGTTAGTGGCCATTCCTAAACTGAATTCTGCCAAAAATGTGATTAAAGCTACACTTTACTAGTGAGAGGCAATTGGTAAACAGCTGGAACAGCCAGCCCCAAATAGGTGGGCTCTTCCTGGCAGGCTCCTTTCTCCCTGGCAGACCACAGAAGCAGCTCCAGATCAACTAGTTGGGGGAGGCCTTGGATCCCCAGGATTTGAAAGCAGCAAAGGCAATCCACCCGTTCCCCAAAGCCTTCATTCTAGAGGTGGATCAGAGAGGCTTACTCTTCCTCCTTAGTTTTAAGGCACTTTGAGGCACTACTTGTAGCTGTCTGCAATTGTAAGAGAAATTCCTTTGTGACCTCTATACGGTTGCAGATACTATGTGTCAATGGTTGTTGGTTGGTTCTTGGTGGGGGGGTGTATGCTATATGGACAAAATATACATATCAAAATATATCAGCCTTCCTGTGAAGCCCAGAACATAGGCCATTGCAGTGTTTTTTAGTTTTAGGTTACTTTCCCCCTAAGAAGTAGACAAAGAATAAAATAAGAGGTGAGCATTTGTATAGCATTTATTACTTTTCAAAGCCGTCTTTCCATATGATATCTCATTTTATTCTTACAACAGTTCTGTGAGGTAGAGAGATCGTCAGTTTACAAGATGAATAAATGGAGGATCAGGGAATTGGAATGACTTACTCAAAAGCCACACAGGGAGTTAGTGGTAGAACTGGGACAAGAATGCACAATTCCTAATTCCTGGTACAAGTTGCCAGTCATCTGAGTGTGTGTGTATTCCCAAAGAATGTGCATGTATGTGGGTGGGGGGTGGGGGCGTGTATTCACTTTCAGGAGTTCACTGTAAAACATACTCATATATGCATATACTTCTAAGTATCCCCCCAAATATTTAATAGTCTTTATTTGATGAGATAAATGTATTCTTCGGGCAATAAACAGGGCCTTAGATCCACAACCAAGGAGTTCTTGGGGGACACTGTGGTATGATGGAAAGAGCCTTAATTCAACAGCTCTGATCCCAGATTGGCTCTTTGTGACCACGGGAGAGTCGGTTGACTTCTGTTTCTCAGTCTCCTAATATGTCAAATGGGGATGATACTACTTGCCTTATTTCTGTCACAGGGATGAAGTTTACATGAGCAAAAAGTCAAAGTAAGGCCAGGCGCGGTGGCTCACGCCTGTAATCCTAGCACTCTGGGACGCTGTAATCCTAGCACTCTGGGAGGCCGAGGCAGGCGGATTGTTTGAGCTCAGGAGTTCGAGACCAGCCTGAGCAAGAGCGAGACCCCACCTCTACTAAAATTAGAAAGAAATTAATCGGCCAACTAAAAATATATAGAAAAAATTAGCCGGGCATGGTGGCACATGCCTGTAGTCCCAACTACTCGGGAGGCTGAGGCAGAAGGATCACTTGAGCCCAGGAGTTTGAGGTTGCTGTGAGCTAGGCTGACGCCATGGCACTCACTCCAGCCCGGGCAAAAGAGTGAGACTCTGTCTCAAAAAAAAAAAAAAAAAAAAATAGTCAAAGTACTAGGTGAACACAAACCAATAATGGGTTTTCATAGTTCAGGTTTTCAGGTAATTGTGGTCTGGACCCTAAGAACAGAGCCCAGTAACCATCCCTAGACTCTTTGCAAACAGGTCTCGCCCCAGGTACTAGTTGGCTGACCAGGAGAGTTCTAAAGGCCACTGGAATAGAAACCTCAGCTTCCTATGCTTTCCCTATGGGACAGGAAATACAGTGGCTGAGAGACGGGGGCTCTGTCCAATAGCCTGAGGCCACCTGGAGATTTGCAGAAGGTATTCCTGCTCAAGGAATCTGGGTGGTGGTGTGTGGAGAGGACATTAGTTAGAACCTAGTAATTAAGAGATAAAAAGTATTTTTGTGGTTGTTGATCATTATTTTGCTAGCTCATGCCACTATAGCCATTGTTTGAGTGTGTGTGGGTGTATGAGAGCATGTTCCTACGAGCCAATGCAATAAGACCTTAAGACCATCTAACAGCTACATTCTAATTTATCCATTAGTCATCATGACTTAAATAATTTTCTTCTGGCCTTTTTTTGGGGTACGTTAATCCATCCATTCATTAACCCAACTTCTCTTTTCATTTTCAGTTTGGGCTTCCTGTAGACGCCCTTTTCCTGCGCAACAGAGCTGGGCCTCCCTTTCTTTAATTTCCCCCTTAACACGTCTGGGGGTGCATAAAACCTGTGCCCTCCCCTCTCTTCCTGCCAAGGTTTATAGAAGCCTGAGAGTCTGAGGACGATGTCTGGCCTCTGATCAAGAAGCCAGCAGTGACATGGCTTGGAGATGCATCCTGCATCCCCGTCCCCCTCCCTGCACCCCAAGCTGTCCCTCCCACCTCGCCGCCGTCTTTGTCAGACTGTAACATGTTCAGGGGGCACATCTGCTGTTCTTCACACCAACTTCCCTGCCCGAACTCTGATTGCTGCTTGTTTCTCTGAGGTATTTGCATCCACCATGGCTGGGTAAGCACCAGTCAGCACGGCTACCTCCTTAGTCTCACGGGTCTCCCCTGGCCCACTCCACCCCCATCCTCAGGAGCCACAGCCCCTTCTCAGAGGGTTCCAAGAGGAGATACTTTGCTGCCTTTTCCTTCTGGCCTTTTAACCCAGCCCTTTCCAGTTTTCATATACTCAAGGTAACTGCATTCGAGCTGTGTTACAAATCTGCAACAAGTTTGTTTACACCAAGCCCTTCCCATAAAACACAACTGCTGGAGAAAGTAGCATAAATTTCCCCTCTCTCTAACTCTGGGGCGGTACTAGGAATAATAGTCCCACTTCAAAAACTGGCAAACTGAGCTGTCAAAGATTCAAGTGTTTTGAGGTTTGCTCTGATGAATCTTCTAGTCTACTTAGTGAATGTGATGATGATTTTTAATATGCATTTTGCACACATCCTCCAATAAGAACAGATGCAACTATCAGCTAGAGAGAAGAAAAGATGTGTTCTGCCTTGGAAGGTCCTTAACTTTATTTCCAGTCTGAGGAGTTGATATTTTAAAAATATTCCAGCCCTCATTTTTATAATGGGTCCCATCTGATAGTGGCTTTGGGAACCCTTTTGAATAAAGAGCCCTCCATTGTGAGGGCCGTGAGGCACAGTGGCCTTTGGTGTTTGGCCAGTGACAAAGTGAGAGCTGGAGGTGACCTGGCAATGATCTGTGGCTAACATGCAGTCTCTCTGCCCTTCCTTTGCAGTAATCCATGGCTGTGTACTGAATAGTATTCCCTGCTACAGCTGGACTGGACTCCATTTAGCCTTTTAAGCCAAGGTTCCTATTTTAACTGACAGCTTTCCTTTGGGGTGCCAGACAGCCATGCCCCCAACCCCTGCCATGTACTTCAAGTCCCACTTCTTCTTTTTGAGTTCTACAACTTGCTCCTGCCTCACAGTCCCACTGGGCACTGACCGTGACCATCTTCTTCTTTTTTTTTTTTTTGAGGTTTTTTTTTATCACTTACTTTCAAAGCACACAGCGAAACAAGGCTATGGCAAATTTCCAGGTCTTTTTGAAGTGTTGAGAAGGGGAAAGAGGTTTCTCTCTTCAATAATAGATAATAATAGGAAGCAAAAAAAAGTCAAAAAAGTGAAAAGCAAACATATGCATACACTTGTTGGCAAAGCAAGAGTGCAGTTTTAATATATACTGTTTGGTGATCACTGATTGGTTAGTAGGCAGAGAGGCAAGTGTGAAGGTGATGCTGCCAAAGCAGAAAGCTAGTTTCTTGGGAAAATGCAAGTCACAATGGAGCATTTTAAAGACCCTGTACTTGGAGGTAAAAACAACCCCCCACCCCTCCAAAAAAAACACCCAAAAAAGCAAACCAAAAAAAAGCCCACTGGGGTACTCAGCCAGTAGCTCAGAGAGATGTTGAGTTAGGGTGGTCAGGTCTCCTTGGGAGAGGCTACTTATTTGTAGCTTTGATATTTCTCTGTCCATCTTCAGAGCTGCTTTCCCGGAGGCCCATGCTTAAACAACCAATGGACAATCACCATCCTCCTGGGTCATTATTTGCATTACAAACCCAAGGCCCCCTCATTTGCATTTGTTTACAGATTAACTACTCAAGGCTTGAGGAGCTGTGAATACTTCAAAAGCATTAGAGACTTCACAGCCTTTGAGAGACTGGCAGAAACGAAACAGGGAATTTTTTATGAAGAGACATTTTGGTCAGTAAGACAGATATAACCCACTTACTCCATAAGAGGAAGCCGAGGCCCAGAGAGGCGAAGGGACTGGATGGAGGTCCCCCTGCTGCTTTGTGGCAGAAGCCAGGCTAAATTCCGTGCCTCTTGACTCCCAATCCGTTTCACAGAGGGATTCAACTTGTTTATATAACCTTCCTGGAGACAAGGTCTTTTGATGTTCTGAGAAACCAAATAGTCAGTATTAGAAGACCTGAGGTTTTTTCTCCCCAGAAAAACATCTGAGGATGGAGCGTGAGGGGGCACGGAAAGCAGAGGTTCTCGGCTAGCTCCATAGGGGAGTCACAGGGCACCTGCTAACCGGTCAGCTTTCCTGCAAGGCTGGAACGGGGTCCAGTGCCTGTGAGTGAGCATAAGGCCTTTAAAAAGCTGATCAAGCCTATGAAAAGAATTAAAACGCTTATTTCACTGGGTAGCTTTTCTCACTGTAGACAGAAAGGTTTTCCCTTCTTCAATGAAAAGGCTTTTTAATTAGTACAATTGTTACTGTTTTTAAAAAATACCCTAAGTACTCTGTTTACTTCTGGTGAAACAAAACCAGTCATTAGAAATGGTCTGTGCTTTTATTTTCCCAGACTGGAATGGCTTTTCTGAAATGCATACACGCATGCACCCCTCATTTCTCTTAAGCCAAGAAGTTTGCTTTTCCTAGCTGCAGTGCGGATCGCTCTTGTTTTTTTTTTTTTGTTTGTTTGTTTGTTTTAATCATTTGGCATTCACATGTGGCTGTTAATATGTGCTTGTTTTTAATTAAAACAAGAAGCTTTAAACCGGTGTGTGGTGTTCTTAAAACCTTCTCAGCAGATTTCCCCATGGTGATGGCCCATTGGTGACCCTCATTTCTAACTTGTCTTCTCAAAGTATAATCTGTGCTACTTCACACTGCCAACTCCCCTCCCCCTGTCTTACTTCGAATGTCCTTTTTCTTTGGCTAATTTCATGTTTTCTTTCTCTTTCTCTCTCCCTCTCCAGCTTTTTTTAATCTTGTCTTCAGCAGCTGCACTAAGTCTAAAGGAGAAGACTGCCATTATAGAAGAGTTAGGGTTCCATATTGTCTCAAACCAGAAATCATCCAATTTCCTCTCCCCTCAAACTGCGTGCACACACACACACCACTCAACAAGTGTTCATGTGTCCCCGTGTCCAGGCAAGAAGCTCTCTTCTGACTTACATGGTATTTTAAATGGAAATGTCTTGTCCTAAACTAACATGGCAGGAAAAGAACCATCAGAGCTGGAAAATGGACCAAATGTAAACTCAAAGAGACAACTATAGGACCACTCACCCAAGTGTAAGTGACTGGGGCAGAATACCCCAGCTGGGTGTGGAAGTGCTATTCACAACTTTTTGTTTGAGTTTTATGTTTTTCTTTTTAAACAACAATTCTCTGGTTCAATGGGTTGACTGTCTATGGCCACCATTAAACATTGCTGAATATGGAAGAGAAAGTCAAGTGACATTTGTATCTTCTTCAGCATTCACAGACCTTCTGCAGACCCCAGCAAGGGGGAAAAATGGATCCACTAACACTCAGGTGGAAAAGAGAGAGAATAAAAGGGAGTTTAAGCTTAGCTAGAGCAAAATTACTCCATTCAACTTTCCAAGGCCAGTTGGGGTTTTGAGAGGTTTCTGCTCAACCTGGGATCTGGAGGGAGAGCTTTGTTGTTGATAAATCTGCCTTGAATTCATTGGTTTAACTTGCATCAAAATACCATGTGAGGCCGGGCGCGCTGGCTCACGCCTGTAATCCTAGCACTCTGGGAGGCCGAGGCGGGCGGATTGTTTGAGCTCAGGAGTTCGAAACCAGCCTGAGCAAGAGCGAGACCCCATCTCTACTAAAAATAGAAAGAAATTAATCGGACAACTAAAAATATATAGAAAAAATTAGCCGGGCATGGTGGCTCATGCCTGTAGTCCCAGCTACTCGGGAGGCTGAGGCAGGAGGATCGCTGGAGCCCAGGAGTTTGAGGTTGCTGTGAGCTAGGCTGACACCACGGCACTCTAGCCCAGGCAACACAGTGAGACTCTGTCTCAAAAAAAAAAAAAATACCATGTGAGTGTGCTCATTACCATATATCCTTACCACCGTCACCACCATTCTGCTGTCCAGTGTCTCTTGAGAGAGCCTCTTTGCATGTTTTCCAGAATCTGTGTTTGTTTTTCCTTTCTTCTCCTTTGTTCTTTTTGCTCAAAGGTGTTACCAGTCACTGCCCCTCTGGGGCTTTCATTCTCCAGGAGAAACATCCCAGAACCAGCACTGTTTAGCTTGATGCCTTTCTAATATCCATGTCAATTTTCAATAAAATTCAAAGAAATGCTAAATGGCTGTGTGATCTGATCCTAAATCATTAGATGTTGTGGCCCACCATTGTTTGCCTTGGGAGATGTGGGTGGCTTTGAAGGGCTCCCAAGTGGTTGATTTGAAAGGCTCAGGGAGGCACCACCAGCCCCTGTGATCTTCCTGGGTGGGTTGCCGTGCCTCTTCGGTCCTCCATCTGGGCCTGAAATTCCCACCAGGGTGGGGTGGAGGTAAGCAAGAAGTCCTCTACTTTATTATCATGGGCTTCATTGATCGGTTGAGCTAATTATTATCTAGGATATTAGATGGAGGAAGTCGAACACTAGATCCTACAGAACAAGATTCAGGTGAGTTTTAATTCTGGAAGGAAAAGAACACTGTGCTACATGTCTTCTCATTTAATTCTGTGATGCGAGCATCCCCCCAAATTCATGGATAGGACTGTTCTTTATAACTAGAAAAGCGTTCCATAAATACCAAGTGGTATTTTGTGTCCTGGGTCTACCAGAGAGGGAAGCCTCCTGTCCCCGCAAGCATTAAAGTGGGCAAGAGGGAGAGTGGTCAGTTTTCAGAACTCTGGTTGCAGGTGAGGTGGGGTTTCCTTTCCTCAGCTTCGTTTCCCTAACTCCAGATACTGGAATCAGCATGAGTGATCTCCATCCTCTGTGTGGAGGCCTGGAGGCCTCTGAAGGGGTACCCAAGGAAGGGACATTGGCCTGTCTGTGTGCAGCACAAATACTAGGGGGCAATGGAGTGAGACAATAATCACTTGTGACCTCACAGTAGAGGCAAACACTAAGGTTGTGGAAAAATACAAGCTCTGGAGGCAGACAGACTCCTAGCTGTGCGCTCTGGGACAAGTCGTGTTAAAAAGTTCTCTAGGAAAGGAGAATATCAGTAGCTCCCTTGCAGGGTCATTGTGAAGGCTACCTGAGCTAATAATGCAAGTTAAAGACCTGGGCATTCAATAAATGGGATCCTTTAGTAAGTATGGAATTTTCCCTGTACTAGAAAGTCTTCACCTTAGGGTACTGTAATCCATGGATTCTCAATCTCAGCACTGTGGACATTTGGGGCCAGATAACTCTTTGTTACAGGATGTTTAGCAGCATCCCTGGCTTCTACCCACTAGGTGTCAGTAGCACACCTCCCCCACTTCCCACAGTTGAGACAAACAAAAATGTTTCCAGATATTGCCAAACTGTCAAAATTGCCCCATGTGAAGAACCATTGCTTTAGCCCAGGGCTCAGCAAACTTTCTGTAAAGGGACAGCTGGTAAATATTTTAGGCTTTGCAAGCCACATGATCTCTGCAACTATTCAACTGTTACTCTAGCACAAAAGCAGCCATAGATAATACGTAAAAGAATGAGTGTGGCTGTGCTCCAATCAAACTTTACTTATGGACACGAAATTTGAATTTCATATGTTTTTCACATATCCCGAGTTATTCTTTGGAGTTTTTTCAACCATTAGCAAATGTAAAAACCATTCTTAGTGCAAGGGTCAGACAAGTACAGGCAATGGGGCCAGATTTGGCCTGTGGGTTGTCTTGTTGATCCCACCTCTAATGCATTTCTGTGCTTATTTATGCATCATTGAGCCTAAAAGTGTTAGAAGCAACTTGCCTGTCCAAAGAAATCAGAAATAAAGACAAATGGCTGGAGTTTTAGTAGATGTAGCTAGATTTCTATTGTTTACCAATGTGGGGAGCTATTGCCCGTTTCAAACGACTAATTTTGAAATTAAGTTACAAGAATAGTACAAGCATACCCACATACTCTTGATCCAGATTCACCAGTTGATAACATTTTGTCCCAATTGGCTTTATCATTTTTGTGCCCTTCATATATATATATATATATATATATATACACATACATACGTATACACATGCATACAGATAATAAGGATATTTATTCTCTTGCATAATCACAGACATTTCTCAACTTTGGTAAGTTTCACATTGTAACACTACTTCGATATATCAAATAATATCCTTTAGCTCTTTTTTCTTGCAGTGCAGGATCTAGTATAGGTTCATGCATTGTGTCCTGTCTTTTTAATCTCCTTTCATTTGGAACAGCTTTTCTTTGTCTTTTATGACATCGATACTTTCGAAGTACTATTTAAAAAAGAGAATGTTCTCATTTTAGGTCAAGGTGTTGCCCAATTTCTCCACAATATAATTATTGAGTTTTTCTCTTCATTGCTACTAATAAACAATCTGTGGGGAGAAATTGTAAGTCCACGCAAATATATTATTCCTCATCAAAAATTTACCCCTAGATTTAGCATCTATTGATAATTCTTGCCTGAACTAATCTACAAAATGGTGATTTTCCAATTCCAGCACTCCCTCCATATTTACTGGTCAGCACATAGTATTCTACTGTAAGCAAAAGTCCTACCTTCTTTCTCATTTATTTATCTATTTAGTATCACCGTGGACTATGGCTTCCTATTTTTCAATGGCTTATAATTCATTACTGTTCTTAATTATTTTGGTGCTCAAATTGCCCAGATTTGTCCAGTAAGAGCTCCTATTGTTTTTAACGTGTTAGTGAACATTCCTAAAGAGCATCTTGTGATGCAGAGTACTCTGGTCAAGAACTTTTGGTGATCTAATTTCTGGGATAGTTTAGGGGAGTGGTGTTTAGTCAGGTTCCAGGCTTCCCTCCTTTCACTATTTAGTGACTCCCCTATAGGAAAGGGCAGGGAAGGAAACTTCCGGGCAGTCAAAGGGGGTGTGTGTGGCTAGTACAAAGACAGTGGCAGGAGCCTGCGTTACAGCAGAGAAAGATGATGGAGTGGAGGAGGATGGATCATCACCTGAGGTTCCTAGATTGTTTTAGAGTTGCAATGGCTGCCTTTGTCATCTACACCTACACCTCTCCTTTTACATCAACAGCTCTCTTCAACATTTATTCAGATAATACATTTCTGCTTAGGGGTTTCAACTCCTGCTTACTGAGAAACCATCTGTAGCCTGTGAGAAGGTAATGGGCTGAAATAGATAGGCTGAAGCGTTTTTTAATCAGAAGGATACCAGGGAAAGGAGGTCATGGAAAATCATAGAAATTTTTGTTTTGCATTGTTTTCTAGAGATGAAATTATTTATTCCATAGTGGGAATTACAAATAGAATCCAGTTATGGCTGTTCCAGAGCAGACGGCCTCTTACATCATCACTTTCACTGCCTTTCATTTTGTAATTTAAGTTCAAAAGTCAGATTGCAATGATTTATTTCTATATGATAGAAAAGTTTTAATCCAAGCTGAGAGAAAGTAGTTTTTTCTTTTTCTCAGATTGTTTTGTAGGAAAGATGTATATTAACTACAGTGCTGATTTTGATAAAACTTGGCAGCCTAGGCTGTGTCTTAGACCATTTGTGCTGCTATAACAAAGTATTTCAGACTGAGTAACTTAAAGAATAGAAATTTATTTCTCAGGGTTCAGGGATTCTTTATTTCTCAAGATCAAGGCACCAGCAGGTTTAGGTGTCTGATAAAGGCTGCTCTCTGCTTCCAAGATGGTGTCTTGTTGCTGCATCCTCCAGAGGGGAGGAATGCTAAGCTCCGACATGAGGGAAGGCCAAGGGCAAGTGATTAACCAAATGCTGCATGAAGCTTCTTTTACAAGAGCCTTAATCTCATTCAGGAAGGAGGAGCACTCATGGCCTAATCACCTCCTAAAGGCCCCACCTCTTAATACATCACATTGGCCATTAAGTTTAAAAACTTGAATTTTGGCGGGGACACATTCAAACCATAGGAGACTGAAATCAATCCAATTATAAAACGACAAATCAGCTTAAAATGTAGCCTGTGAGAAAGTGAATTTCACTAGGTTGGGACAATGGGAAGAGCCTTCATTCATTCATTCAATTCAACAAATATCCATGGAGTGCCTACAGGAGCCAAGTGTAGGTGCTAACAGCAAGACAGGAGTTCCCTGTTCTCATGGAGCTGACATTTCGAGAGGGGGTTCAAACTCTTAAAAATAATTTCAAGGTGATATATACTGTGAAGAAAATAAAACAGGGCAATACAATGGCAAACGACTAGGGGAACACCTACATTCTGAATTCTGATTTCATCATTGCCAAGAACTATCTCTACAGCCTTCAACAAGTCACTTCACCTCGCTGGCCTTATTTTTCTAACTCACAAAATGATGACTTGAATTTATGATCTCTAAGCTTCCTAGTATTCTATTCTTTGATTTTTTTCTCTTTTTTTGCAAATAGCTCATCATTCAACTTCAATGAATTCTTTAATAGCTCAGAAACTGTCATTACTTCAGCAAACACGCCTGTCTACCATAGAGAGACACAGAAATAAACAATTATGAAACTATGAAAAGTGCTGTTATTCTCTGCTCTTCTGAGTCCTATATACCCCTACTTATAAGACATGTCATATAGTTAGGAATATGTCATTAAAGAGTTAAAGAAGTTAATGAATCAAAGCCACCTCATCCAGTAGGACCATATAGTTGGTGGAACATACAGTTTTATGCAGGGCTATTTCTCCCCACCAAGGTTGTGGGACAACAGAGAAAACCATTTTTTTTCTTTTGTATTCCTACTATAGGGAGCACACAGTAGGCGCTGTGTAAATTCCCGCTGACAGACACTCATTGATCAACTACTTCAGTGGCACAGGTTGGCAGATATGAATTGAGGCTGCTGACTGGAGCAGATGCAGGGTGGAGTGATACTTAGGGGTACAGAGCGATTCAGCTGTTTTGCTACTGTGTAACCTTTAACCCTCTTCTTTTGGCCCTTTTTGTATTTTGTAATATTTTGCACGTTTTTTTTTTTTTTTTTTTTTTTTGA